AGACACCAAGATCATCTACTGCATCTTGAGCCACCATCAGTTGTCTTGACTTTTGTCTTTCCATTGGCCTTTGATGACTCTGGAAGAGATAGGTAGGCTGACAACTTTGTGCAACTCTGCCTCACTTAAATCCAATTCGAGAGTAAGTCAAGACACCACCCTGTGTTGCAATTAGTCCTCTTCCAAAAGGAAGGACGAACAACAACATTTATCCTGTATATAGTTTGCTTTGTTTATATTTGTTTGCATGTTGTCTCTCCCATTAGACTGCAAGGTCTTTGAGGGCAGGAACTGTCTTTTGCCTCTTTTTGTATCCCTAGAACTTAGCATAGTGCCTGGCACATAGTAGGTGCTTAATAAATATTTATTAATTGATTGATTACATGTTATTTCCATCCTTGGAATGTGTGCTCCTTGAGGGCAGGGACATTGTCTTCTGCATGGAGCATGGTGCCAAGCATATAGCAAGACAATAAATTCTGTTCATTTACTTAATCACTTGATCATTGATTTAACACTTTGAACAGTGCAAGTTTCAGTTGACTAATGACATTAGAAGTCAGATAGTTTAAAAGAGCAAAAAAGGAAGTGGAGACATCAGTTGTAGATGTCTTTGTCTAAAAGTTTAGCCACAAAAGACAGGAGATAGAGGACTAATCAAGGAAGGAAAGAGAACGGTTCAAGGGACCAGCAGAATGTCCAGGGGATAGTAGATAACAGCTACCAGAATCCTGATTGGGTGATAAATATGGATTGAATCAACTTTAGGGGAGGAGAAGTTACTGAGTAATGGCAGTAGAGGGAGAGACTGGAAATGACAATGATGAGCAAGGAGTATTCCAATACAATGTTGCGGTGTTCATGATGAACATTTGTAAGAAGATCACCATGACAACATTTGCTGCTTATATGCCAACATCCATTATAGAACATGAAGAGATACAGAAAGTCAGTAATACTCTCCCCATTAAATCAAAATATAGTTTAAAGGGCAGTTTTGATGCAAAGGTAGGCATAGAGTAAGATGGTAGAAGATATATTGGAAAATATGGTTCAGGTTTAGAAATAAAAAGGGCCAAATGTCTGCGTTGAATCTTCATGCCTATATGTCACAAATATGCTTCTGAAGTAGAGCAAGGGGTCACTGCACAACACTCCTCAAAATGAAAGAGTATATTTTAATAGATGGGAAATAATAGGTTACAGTGATGTGGGAATTATTTCTGAATCAGCTACTTGTGTACAGTCAGACCATCTACTTTTTAAAGCAAAGATCAAAATCAACGTAAAATTAAAAAAAAATTAGAAGGTATGGCATACAATTTAAAAAATTCCAACTGAGCTTACTTAAACAAGCCATTCACACTGCCTAAGAGACAAATTGGCATAATAGACAGCCTTGGAGCCTGGAAAATTTGAATTCAAGTTTGATCTCTGACAGAACTGTGTGGCCCTGGGAAAGTCTTTTAACTTCTCAGTGCTCAAGGCAGCTCTGTAAGATTATAAATTGCAGAAGAGGTGCAATTTTTTCTTACCAGGAGCCATGAAATCTGGGAGCTTCCTAAACAAATGAAGTCCGTTATCTATCTATCCCATTGATACAGAAAAATGTGAAGTGATTAAAAGAACTGACAATACACACAATAATTGTTCCCTAAGGGAGTTTAACTGATGTAAACAAATTAACAATGAAAAAGTCAATTATCTCAGAGAGAAAACTCTTGATTTCCTTATAGCAGGGCCTCAACTTCCCATCGTTCCTGGTGGTGTCAGGTTCGACAACAAATACTTGCCAGCTTTTTGAATAGGGAGGAAGCACCCTTTTTTCTCTCACACAACTTCCACCAGTACAGGAATATTTCTGAAATGGGTCACATTAAGTTGTACTAAAGAATTCTAGCACCTGGAGCAAATTCAGAGGAGGTAGGTGAGACAGAGCCCTAAGGATACATTGAGGCTAGTATGTATGTTGCTACTAATCCTGGTAGTCCTATATGATGTAGGTACCTGGGGCAAATGTCAGGCAGGTAGTCTGCCTCAGGTATAGTAGCACCAGTAGGAAAAGGCAGGCCCACAGATAAAAGTATAACTGCTTTAGAACCTGAGTGGGGAATGCATATTTCCTTTTCCAAGGCACTGATATGTGGTAAAGTGTGCTTTCTCTCCCTTAGTAGATCTTCATGGCTTGTGGTCCTCCACTGGCACTATGCCACTTGATGCAACTGGTATGGAGGAAAAGCATCATCTCCTCGAATGTTGGCACCCTGGATCAAATATTTCATTGCTCCATGTTGGTTATGAGAGGATGATTTTCCATTGTAAAATGGGCTAGGTTCATCTTGACTCAATATTGTGGTAACCCCAGTAACACATGTGGACTGAATTGGGGCAGGTGGCTTTTTAAAAATTGGAGTCTGTGTCCTCTCATTCCAAACTAGCTCCTTCTACTGGCAGATCTGCCAAGGCAGAGAGGTACTGTCTCACCCTTAGCAGAGAGGAGCTAAGAAGGTCCTCTAGAAGAAGAGGATCCAGCTTGATTGTAGGTGAGGTTTCATGTCAAGTTTCTGGAGTATTTCCTCTTTACCTTACTTTTTCTCTTCCTTTCTGCCTACACAGGAGGCGGTAGCAACCTGAATAGACTTTCTATTTAGGTTCCTCCTTTGCTCACAGAGGTGGTTAGAAAGCTACCCTTAGGGATGGGGTGGGGGTTGGGGGGTGAACAGAATAATTAGAAGTATCTTTCTTCTTTCTTTTTTCTCTGTTAGAAGTTAGAAAGTCCATGTGATCTTGCATCTAGGCAGCCCTCATTGTGTCGATGACAGGTATTATGCTAATCCATTGTCATCTTTTTTCAGCAATAATTTTGTGCCTTATATTTTTAGGTTTATTGTTAAGGATGGCATTTCATTATGAAGGAATCATTTTTGGTAAATTTGTATGTTTATTACTTAGTTAATATTTCTTCTACTAGCTTGGTATATTTGTATTGAGCTAGGAAGTTTCCTTTAACAGTCATGTATTGATTATTTACTCGCATCTCATTCTTTGTGACCCCATTTGGGGTTTTCTTGGCAAAGATACCAGAGCGGTTTGCCATTTCCTTCTCCAGCTCATTTACAGATGAGGAAATAAAAGTAAGCACGGTTAAATGACTTGCCCAGGGTCACACCGTAAGTGTTTGAGGTTGGATTTGAGCTCAGGTCCTTCTGACTCCAGGCCCTGCGCTCTATCCACTGTGCCACCTAGGTGCCCCCTAATGTGCTGATAATTCCCATTAAATTTTCTTGGGCGAAACTGTGAATTTATTTTGCCAACACATCATCTTGCATACCTATAAAAATCCCAAGATATTGGTACTCAACAGATTTAGGGGTACAAGAAGGCTAGATAACAGCTACAGAGGGAATTATAGAGTGTCTACCAAAATCTTTCTGTCCTCAGCTAGTAGATTTGTTAACATACTAAGAAAACAAATAAGAAGAGTAGCCTGAATTAGAATGAATGAAAAAGTATTTATTAAGCCCTTACTATGTATAAAACAGGACAGCTAGGAAGGGCTTGGGGCCATGAAGACCTGAATTAAAATCCAGCCTTAGACACTTCCTGGTTGTGTGACCCTGGGAAGTCATTTAACACTGTTTGCCTCAGTTTCCTCATCTGTAAAATGAGCTGGAGAAGGAAATGGCAAACCAGTCCTTTACCAAGAAAACCCCAAATGGGATCACAAAAAGTTGCACACAACTGAAATGACTGAACAACAAAATTTGTAAAACATTGTGCTAAACGTAAGAGAAACAAATAGAAAAGCAAGATAGTCTCTGCTCTCAAGGAACTCAGTCTAATAAAGGGAGACAACAGACGTAGCTGCAAGTCAGATGATGAAGTTTCATGGCTCTTAAGGTACAACAGCAAGCAAATCGTCTTCTTTAATCCACTCATTTAAAATCTCTCTCTTTTTCTAATATTGAACCGCTTAACAGTGCCAAGAACTTTGATGGAGAGAATTTTCTTTTCTGAGTCTTCAGTAACTATTCTGATTAATATAATGATCCATGACTGATCCAAAGGACCCATGATGAAAAAACACTATCTACTTACAGAGTAAAAAAATGATGATCTCAATGTAGATTGAAGCATACTTTTTTCATTTTCTTTTTTTTTTGTATGTATGTTTTCTTTTGCAACACTTAGGGAAATGTGTTTTGCATGACTTCACATGTTTAATTGATATATTGCTTGGGGGAAGGAGGGTGAGAATTTGAAACCCAAAGTTTTAAAAAATGAATGTTAAAATTTTTTTTCAAATATAATTGGGAAATGTTTAATGAAATAAATAAAAATATATTAAAAAACCAAAAAGTGTTATTAACATGGAACAGGTTTATGATTACTTTTAAATTAATATTTAAAATTTTATTTTAAAAAATTTTAATTTCTAGTATAGTAAATACTGATACATATAACTCACATAAAAGCTCTGGGGTTTGTAATAATTTTAATAATTTCTGAGAGTGTAATAGGATCCTGAGACCAAAAAGTTGAAGAACCGCTTCATTAGAGAAAGAAGTTCTCTTTTCTTCTTTCATTACAGTATTGGGAGAACTCAATTCAATAAACATGTATTAAGCGACTACTGTATGCAAGTGCTTAAAAAAATACGCAATGACTAAATAGAGCAGTATCTCGGTCTCACCCTTCTCTGTCTGCGGGTTGCGGCAGCACCTTAGGGTGAGAAACTGGCAAATCTGTCCCCTGTCACCAAGGTTTAAGAAAGAAGCAATCAGGAAATGGCACATTACTTTTAACAGCTCCAGACCAATAAGTGAGAACGCTTCCTTCTCTCTCCCTCTCCCCCTCCCTCTCTACTTCCTCCCGCCTCTGCGGCAGTTCGTCGTACTACACGTCTCACGTCATATAAACACGTGACTCTCCACCACCACCACCCCCTTACATGATGCCTTTTGATTGGACAAACCCATTCCGTCACCGTCCATTGGTACTGGCCAATACTGAGAGGTGGCGTCGCCATCTTGCCGCGGAGTGTCTGTGAGGGGAATCGCTGACTCGGCTGAGCGGCTTTCGAGAGTGTTGGCTTTTTTCTTCTTACTCGTGCCGCTCCGGTCCCACTATGCCACAATACCAGACCTGGGAGGAATTCAGCCGCGCGGCCGAGAAGCTCTACCTCGCCGATCCCATGAAGGTAATGTGAGCCCACTGCCGCGGCATCCCTCCAAGGCTCTTCTGCCGTGCAGCTCAAGAAGATGCTGGTGGGCGGCCTACCCCAGCCCCACCACCCACTCCCCACTCCCTTCAGGGGCCGAGCGCATTTATTTCCCAAAGTCTGTTGTCGGTAACAAGGTTTTACTTAATTTTGGGTCTATCTTCCAGTAGTTCGGTCCTCCTTCCTCGCCCCGCATCCACCAATTCGTTAGATGTGGGAGCCCTTCCTGTTGGTAGAGCCAGAGACATATCTCGCAGCCCTTCAAGACTGCCTCTGTAGGCCTGGGCACAGTGTACGAAATGAGCCTTCAGAAGGCACAACTCGGGGGCATCTCCTGGGCAAAGCATATTCCTGTTCTGTGTCACCTCTTGTGGGTGCTATATTTCTCCCCAAATGGTCTTTTATGTGCTTATCTGCGTACCCAAGTAGAATAAGTAAGTAAGCTACTTCAGGGAAAACCGTTTCATTTTAATCTTTGCATCCCTCTCAGAAGCCTAGCAACTGACCTTAATAAGTGTTAGTAATTGAACTAGTCAGGAAAATCAGATTGGAATCACATGATTTACAGTTGAAAGGGTTCTAGGAGATCATCTCCAGCCTTAACCCCAAATCACTCTGGTCCCAGACCAAGCCCTACTCGGTCACTCTTTGGGCCCTGATTTGTTCACAGTGATTGTAAATAAGAAATGTTCCTGTTTTGGCCAGAATCCCTGAGTGTCTTCCCCTCCCAGATTTATTTATTTATTTTTTAAAGAGGCCATTCTTTGTCTCATTTTTTAATTTAGTCCTAATCACTGAATTGGTGCTGCCTCTGTCGAACTGAGACCTGTTAAAGACCTTAGCTTAAAAAGGCCATGGCCTCCCACTGCATCCTGGGCCATCCCTCTCTCATCCTTCTGATATATATATCTTTCCACTGGATCCAGATGGCTCCAGAGGAGAAAGTGAGGCTGGTGACTTTGCACAGCCCTGCCTCACTTAAATCCAATTCACTTGGAAGTCATGGCATCATCTCTTGATGTCATGGTCCTCTTGGAGAAGGAAGTACAAACAGCAAGAGGTCGTCAAGACTAGTTTCATTTGATGGTGATGGGAATTTGACATTCCAGTCTTCCCTCTCTTCTCTTTTTTAAGAGTATAGTTTCTATGCAAGAAAAAAAAATTATTCAGAATAAATTTAAGCTTAATGAGTTAGGTTCTAATAATACTATTTCAGTATTGCGAAAGATCAATTAATTCATTCTTTTTATGTAGGAAGCACATTTTCCAGATGTGGATTTCCTTTTAGGTAGTACATTTTTTAGGTAGCACATTATTGTCTCCACCTTTGAAGATCACTTGCAGTTCTCTGTGGACAATTTGATTAGCTGCTGTAGTCAAAATAATTCATCACTTAGTGACCAGCCTTTTTATTGATAAACTTTTCTGAATTTAGCTAGGTCAGTCCTAAAACTAAAGATAGAAAGTCTTGTTGCAGGTGGAATTTGATGATCTTTTATTTTGCCATTATCTACTAGTACTTGTACTCCGTGGCACACAACCTTCTAGAACCCAGGGTTACCACCTACAGGAAGAGACATTGGAGCAGAACTTTATTGGAGAAGTTCTAATAACTTAAAATTTCTAAACAAGGAATGTTGATAACTAATATATAATATTTTAAAGTATTTTAAGTGCTTTAATATTTTGTTTGAGATAATGTGTGTGCGTGCATGTGCGTGCAAGCACGCGCTCAGTCATGTCTGAGTCTTTGTGACCCCATTTCTTAGCAAAGATACTAGAATAGTTTGCCACTTTCTTTTCCAAATCATTTTACAGATGAGGAAGCTGAGGCAAGCAGGGCTAAGTGACTTGCCCAGGGTCACAGAGCTAGTAAGTGTCTGAGGTCAGATTTGAGTTAAGGAAAATAAATTATTCCTGACTCCAGGCCTGGCGCTTTATCCACTATGCCACCTAACTGGCTCTGAGATAGTGTTTACTGAAGTACAAATGACTGAACCATACATAATAAATACTAATTGATTGGTATGTTTGAGGGTGTTTATAGAGAGCTGGGCAAATTTGTTTAGGGTCTAAGAGCTATCCTCCAAATTCAAAAGCTGGAAAGGTGGTAGGTTTTGGTTTGGTTTGATTTTAAAACAAAAGGAAGAATGAGAACACAGCATACTACATTATGGAATTGGTTCCCATTCACAGGTAGAGATTCCAAATTTTGTTTCTAATACCCTGCAATAATAATTTGGAATGGCTCAAAGAGGGGACTTGAGCGTATGTAGAAAAATACTTTCTGGGCTTCCTAGGAGCTGGAGTGTAGCTTTGGCTGCCAATAGCCCATTTCTTTTGGGAATAGAACTCAAGTCTCTTTAGTACCCAAGAAATATAATGTTGTTCCTTCTGAATGAAATTGGCTAGGCCTGGGGGCATTATCTTTTCAGGTTACTAAGACAGTAAATGCTGTCTGGCTATAGTCAGGAAAAACAAAGTGGTTTCTGTTGCTTCCGTAGTTTGGGATAAAACTGGAAACAAATAATGACCTGGCACCAGAGTTTAGTTAGCTTTACTTTGCACATGACATGGTGTGATGTTAAAATGTCTACAGCCATTATAAAGACCCAGGATTATCTACAGAGTAGAAGTTATTTCTTGAGACTAGTGGACTTTGGGTCTAAAATCGGGGCTGTTTTTAGCTTGTTTCTGAGTCTCCTGGGTTTTTTATTAGCATTTGGGAGACTAAGAAATGATAGTATTGAGAGGAGGGGTGTTAATAGTTACTTTTAAAAATGTATTCGCTTGAACTCAGTTACCATCTCCTCTGGGCAACAGCTGCTCGAGTTTGAGAACCAGAATGAGCCCGAGTGTGCGCAGCAGAGAACCCGGAGCAGCAGTGGCGACACCCAGATTCCTGGCCCTGAACTTCCCACCCTACCCCGACCCAGGACCCCGGTGCAATGCCCTCCAATCAGCCCTTCAAGCAGTGGCGAAGCTTCACCGACAGATGCAAGGAAGTGCAGCACATCCGCGAGCAGCACCGCAGTAAGATGCTGGTGATCATTGAGCGATACAAAGGGGAAAAACAGCTGCCTGTCTTGGACAAGACCAAGTTCCTGGTCCCTGACCATGTCAACATGAGTTATCATCCTCTGCAGGCTCCAACTTAACCCCACTCAGGTCTTCTTCCTGCTGGTGAATTAGCACAGCATGGTGAGCATCTCCACACCCATCTCGGGAGATCTACGAGCAGGAGAAGGGTGAAGATGGTTTCCTCTATGTGGTTTATGCCTCCCAGGAGACCTTTGTCTACTGAGCAGAAAGGGGCAGGGAGTATCCTGGCCCTGGGAAGATAGCAGCTGGGGAGGAGGCAGCCTAGCCCCCTACTCCAGAACTATAAAGCTGCCTCTAACTACCCCCTCTCTGGGCCCATTCCCCAGGACCCAAAGCAGGAGTGGTTGGCTTAGATCAATGCCAAACTAAGGACTTTGCCCACCCAGGGCTGGAGCAGAACAGAAGACATCCTGTGTCAACAAGAAAAAAGAGCCTATGCATCATCTTTCAAGAAATCATCAAGGAAAATTGCCCTTATATTTTAGAACCAAAGGGCAGAATAGAAATTGAAAGAATCTACTGATTGCCTCCTGAAAGAGATCACCAAAGGAAAACTCCCAGGAATATTGTAGCCAAATTCCAGAGTTCCCAGGTCAAGGAGAAAATATTACAAGCTGCCAGAAAGAAAAAATTCAAGTATTGTGGAAACACAATCAGGATAACACAAGATTTAGCAGCTTCTGCATTAAAGGACTGCAGGGCATGGAATATAATATTCCGGAGGGCAAAGGTGATAGGACTATAACCAAGAATCACCTACCCAGCAAAACTGAGTATAATCCTTCAGGGGAAAAAATGGCCATTCAGTGAAATAGAGGACTTTCAAGCATTCTTGATGAAAAGACCAGAGCTGAATAGAAAATTTGACTTTCAAATACAAGACTCAAGTGGAACATGAAGAGGTAAACAGGAAAGAGAAATCATAAGAGACTTATTAAGGTTGAACTGTTTACATTCCTGCATGGAAAGATGATATTTATAACTCATGAGACCTTTGTCAGTATTAGGGTAGTTGGAGGGAAAAAACTATATGTATGTAGACAGATGTGATAGATAGATAGATAGATAGATAGATAGATAGATAGATAGATAGATAGATGGCACAGGGTGAGTTGAAGATTAAGGGGTCATATCTGGAGAATAAAATTAAGGGATGAGAGAGGATTATACTAGGAGAAGAAGAAAGGGAGAGGTAGAACGGGGTAAATTATCTCAAAAAAACAGAAAAGGGTCTTACAGTGGAGGGGAAATGGAGGAAGGTGAGAGGGAAGGAGTGAATCTTAATCTCCTAGAATTTGGCTTAAGGAGGGAATAACATACACATTCAATTGGGTATGGAAATCTGTCTTACCCTACAGGAAAATAGGAGGAGAAAAGAAGAGGGGGATGATAGAAAGGAGGGCAGATTGGGAAAGGGGGTAATTAGAAGCAAATACTCCTGAGGAGGGACAGGGTCAAAAGAAAGAATAGAATAGGGGGGGGCAGGATAGGATTAAGGGAAATAGAGTTAGTTTTTCACAACATGTCTACTATGGAAGTGTTTTGCATAACTGCATATGTGTAACCTATATTGAGTTGCTTGCCTTTTCAGTGAGGGTGGGTAAGGAGGGAGGAAGGGAGAAAATTTGGAACTCAAAGTTTTAAAAACACATGTTTAAAAAAAATGTTTTCACATGCAGCTGAGAAATAAGAAATACAGGAAATGGGGTACAGAAGTCTATCCTGCCCTACAGGAAAATAGAAAGGGAAAGGAATAAGAGAAGGTGCGGAGAGATAGAAGAGAAGAGAGGACAGACTAGGGGAAGGGGTATTCAGAATACGTGCCATCTTGGGGTGGGAGGAGGGGCAAGATGGGGTGAAAATTTGGAACTCAAAAT